GATATTCTGAGGAAGGCCCCCAGCACCTTGGATAGGACCCCTGTGGTAAAATTATGAAATAGTAACAGTCACACTAGATTGACAACCACAGAGGAGATAACATTCGCATCATTAAGGGAACACCCACATCAATAGGGTCACTGGGTAATTTGAGTAAAAGCATTGAGTATTTACACTCAGTCAAATATTTGAGTTATTTTTCTTTAGAAATCCTGGCCCTATCTTCCAGTTATCCTTTCTAGTTTTGTGGCATCAAACAATTTAATAAACGAACCGTTTATGACTTTATCCAAGTTGTTGATTTTAAAACAATGTCAAACAGCGAGGGGCCAAGTACAGCCTCAGGGCAGACACCTAAAGATAGAATTCCAGGTTTGCAAGGAACCACTATTTACAACACTTCGATGCAGGCCATTTACCGGCTCCAAATGGACCCAACTGTATTAGACTCTTGCCAATATCTTTCTATATTTCCCACAAGTGGGGGAATCCTGAATCCAAGCAATATAGAAATGTGCTTTCTTATCTCAGCTAGCCTTTACTTCTACAAACAATTCTTTCATAGTGAACATATGTAAAACTTCACCTTTAACAGAATGGAAGCTCCCTGAGGGCACAGACTTTCACTTTTGTCTTTATATCCCCAGAGCCTTGTACTGAGCTTGGAGAATAGTAAATGTCTCATAAAGGTTTGGTTTCTTGATAAATTGAAAATTTAACCTTATTTAATGCTTGTCTAAAATCTAGGTTAACTATAGCCATAGTTTTCCATAGGTCTAGTAAAGTTTCAGTCACAAAGCAAATGCAATTATTTTCGCATGACCCATTTCAGCCAGGCTAGCTCTTTGCGATCAACCTAACCTCTCCTCTAAGTTCACTAACCATCTCTTTAATTTGTTTGAGAATCTTGCCAGGAATCAATGTCAAGGTCACCACTCCATAGTTTGCAGACTCAATATTCTTCCTGGAAGAAAGGTTTTAAGGGGTTAGGCTTCCACAGCAGCATAAGAAATTTCAAGATCTTGTGGACAGTCCCTCAACCAAACAGAAAGTGTCTCAAACTTTCTGTGAGCAACTAGTTCCTTAAGAAAGAGCCCTGGAGGTTAAACAGATTGCAACCCCTTTGGGGTCAAGGATGTGGCCTCGACAGGGCCAAGGCTTTTCTCTTAATAAGCTTATTAAACATTAACTGGCACACCCTGAGGGTGGAGATGGTCACCATTTTTGAACATGGGACCCATGAAGTGGGTGGAGTTAACAGAACACGGACGAACAGGAGATAGCTGTCCAGGAAGAGTGTAACTCAGGTGAACTAGACTAATTCTAGTCCTGGTGGGTGGAGTATGAATCTTACTAACTATTTAAAAGTTGATTGTTCCACTGAACCAGGGCCCACATGCTCCTAGAGTGCGTTGTGTCCGCTTCTCTCCGGAGAAATGTAATAAAGGCTTTCCTTCATTCACTTCTGTAATAGACTCTTGTTTCAGATTTTTCTAACACTCCTATTTTGAAAACTGACATAGCATTTGGGCTTCTCCAAGCCTGTTACAGTTCTTTTGTTTTCCATATTTATTCAATTATCACAGACAGTGGCTCAGGGATGCCACTCTCTCCTTCTTCTAGTCCCTGAGCATGGCATGGAGCACAATCATTTTCTCTCTTCCCATCTTTCTGATTATCTTGAGCATCAACTTCCCATTAGTGATTTCTGTTTTGCCTTTTTAGTCCAAAGATGTTCCTTCTTGGCAGAGAAAACAAGCCAAGCAACAGTGGAGTGGCTCTTCCCACTCTCCTATGTCTTCTGTGACATCCCACATACACTTTCTAGGCTTTCTTTGACTGTCCTCTTTCTCCAGTGTAGCTGCTGTCCTTTCCTTCCTTCACCAGCCTCAGTTCTTTGGGAGCTTCAGTGGCCCTGATACTCTTCTTCCAGAACTGAACCACTCCCTTTTCATCATTTACCTTTGCTTCCCATTTCTGGACACATCTTTTAATGATCTAAGGTGATTAACAAGTGCCCTAACCATCTGTACACACACATACACACACACGTGCGTGCGCGCACACACACACACACACACACACACACACACTCATTCACTCCTCATCAGAATTATTCCTATTTATCCCTTCAGAATTTCTTTCTTGAGAGTTTGCAGGCTTTCATGGGCTAACTTGCCTTGGATAAATTAAGTCTATTATTCCCTATATATCTTTTCTCTGAACTCTTGGAATCAATTCCCCAAAACTTCAGGGTTAATGTCAGACTATGCCCACCTTTTCTCTCCTCTATGACAAATTCTCAAATGGAGAGACAATTTATCCCTGTGTCTCCCATCGTGTTCACCACAGCGCCAGTTTCTTCTTATTGATGAGAATAAGATCCCAAAGAAAGATCTCCCTTGGATCCTTCACTTTTTGAAGGATTAAATTGACATTAAGATTTATCAAAAACAAACTGCTCGTGGCTCTATTTCGTGTAGAGAGAGCTGGAGCATATCTATGGGTAACAGAAGTCCCTACTACTTCTCTATTGAGTCAGTGCCAGGCCTGTGATGTTGAAACTTCTCTTTTTGCTTCATGTCTCTCTTGCCATTTTGAAGTGTCCTCCACTGACAATATCTCTTCTCTCTCAGCCTCTATCGATCTCCACTCAAATGCTCTCCATCACACTTCCTTCTTTGATCCCTAGCCCTCATCACTTGAGCCAACATTTTGGATATACATTGTTCCACTCCTTCCCACCTCACCCACTTCCTTTTCTTAGGTCTCTTGTTTCTTTTGCTTATTAACCTTGCTTTGTGTATTTGTGTGTATATACACACACATATGCCTATGTCTATATACTTGTATATTACCTACCTGTACAAATGTACACACAGATAAATAGCTATGAAGTGATACATGAACATTTATTAAACACCTACTGCTGTGTGAAGACACAATGCTAGATGCTGGGATGCAAAGGTATTTATATTATGTATGTTTGCACATATGTATGTAGGAGTATATGTGTATATGTGAACACACACATTCATGTACATCACACAGTTGTCTTGGGCCTAGTGGTTTGTCATTAGCTCTTTTCTCATACTTCTTCTCCTCCAAAATTTGTGACAAGAAGATTTCTGGCTCAACCTTATTACCACCATTCGCTTAAGATAAGCAGATCATGTAAGTACGTAAGTCTGCAAAATCAAGCTGAGATGTTAACTGGTTAGTACCTTCTCTGCCATCAGATCAACAGCTTGAGAGATCAGAAATAGCTCTGGCGTTTACTAGCAAGTTGTCCGTTTTACCTGATACAGATCTTCCTCCTTTGCCATCTGTTCTGTGGTCTGAAGATCATCATCTTTCCTTATTTACTCTAAAATTCCTGAAATTCCATTGTATCTATCCTGCTTATGGGATCAAAACCTATATGAGGGAGGTGAAATTGCTGGTCAGAGCTGACACATCTTTCTATACGATGAACCTATCTCCTGAGTGCCATCAGTCAGTATTTACCACATCTCTGTATAATTGGCTATGTATTTGGAAGTAGTAGCTATTAATGGCTCCTCAGACAATTTTTTTGGTCACAATTTATCTTGACAGTCAGTTACCGTTTCTGCTCTGTCACTTTGTTCCCATGCAAAGGCTATTTTCTCCCTCAGAGTCCTTTTCAGTTTGAAGTTCTCTCCATTAGATTCCGCAGTCTCCAGGAAATGCATTTACATCTCCCCAAGCAGAACGGAAACTCCTACAAGGCAGAACTTGCTTCATTTTAACCACAGTTTAGGAAATCAATACCAGTTCTGTGAATTGAATTATCTCTAGGATGCATCTGTATTAATGAGGTATAATAAAGGTAAAGAACTCAAGTAATAGAAACAATAATAAAATACTGCCATGGAATTTTAAGGCATATTGAATATTTTCTTTAAAATTTTCTTCTTTTCTGTGTTTTAGGTTGTTTCATTCAGTCATTTTGATAAGGCTGGGAGCTAGACCCCAAAAAAGGAAAAACCCGGGACTTTCCCACATGGCCAGATCTCTGGTGTTTGCCTGAGGCTATAATCCTATCAACTGGTCTTTCTTTGTGCCTACACCCAAGTCCCAGTTCTACAACCCTTAACCTAGCCTAGCCCTCCATTGTATTACCTCCCTATGGCCCTGGCTATTTCCCACCCTTAATCCTAGCTAGGCTCCATTCTCCCTTGGCCAAGAGGTTCAGGTCCTGGGTGTTCTGCTCACCCCAGCTTACTGGCCATTCTCATTCAGATCTTCCTTAGACCCCTCTTCCAGTCATCCCAAACTACTTGACCACTCCTAGATCCCTCCCACACTTTTTCTGTGTATACAGTCCATCTTTTCTCCATTAAGGGGCTTAGATTCTTAAAATCTAGCCACTGCTCGGATTCTTATAATCTAGCAACTAGCTCACTAATGTTCAGACTCCTTAAGATTCTGCCCAATATGTCCAATGTTCTTTTCTTTGGCTGAAAGAAGGCTTGGGTCAAATTCTTTCAGGCAGGAACCATGTATATGATTTTGGGGTCCCAGAACCCCTAAACCTCAACAATTTCAGTCATGTCTGACTCTTTTTGACCCCATTGGAGCTTTTCTTGGCTAGGATAGTAGAGGGGTTTGTCATTTCCTTCTCCAGTTCATTTTACTAATGAAGAAACTGAGGTAAACAGGGTAAAGTGACTTACCAGGGTTACACAGCTAGTGAGTGTCTGAAGCTGGATTTAAACTCAGGAAGATGAGTCTGCCTGACTCCAGGCCCAGTGTTCTTCACACTTTGGTGCCACTAGCTACCTCATGGATGGTTTAGGTAGCAAAGTATTATTCTTTATATTTTACAGATGTGGAAATGGAGCTTCAGAAAGGTTAAAAATAAGGAGCAGCTTGAATTACATAGCAAAATAAGGTTTACCAAACTCTTTTTATGGAATAGGTTTTTTATCTTCACAGAGCCTTGTGAAATAGGTTTAATGATTATCTTCATTTTACAGATGAGGAAACTGAGGGCCAAAGAGGCTGAGTGAAGTTCCCAGGGTGTAACATAGAGTGTCAGAGGCAAGATTTGAACCCTGGTCTTCCTGACTCTTACGGTAAGATTAGCCATTATACCACACTGCTTCTCTGTTAAGTAGAAAAATCACTTTCATCCTATAAAGTTTCCCAAGACCACTCAGCTAGTTTAAGAGCCCAGGCTTTTGACAGTGAGATCCATGTTCTTTATCTGAATACTTTTGTCCACAACACCTTCATTGCCAAAAATTTGTTAATAATTGAAATAGGAGTGGACTCCAGTTTGTGAATTATCAGAATGACTGTTCCATTTGGGAACCCTGCTTTGATAAAATTACCTACAAAGAAGAAGAAAAAGGCTGTTTCCTGGGCATCTTATACTTTCTAAGCACAGGCCACTGTGTATGAAGCTGGGTGTTTTCCTGCCAATGGAAGCCATTTGACAAGCTTCCTCAGTGCATGGAGAGCTGCCTCACAAAGCAGGCAGCACCTCGGGCCTCTGCCATTCATTGCCTATTTATGTCTCATGGATATTCATGATTTTGTATTTCTCTTTGGGTCCTGCAGCTATGTAAATAAATGCAGTGTGATGTGGCTTCTCCAGTGCAATGAATTATGGAATGGTCTTTCATCAGGAAAACTTGATGCCAACCAGTGATTTGGCCAGTGGTTCAGAAGCTTTTTGGTAAAAGAACCCGGGAAGCAGCCAGCCACCCTGTGGTAAGGGTGTGGCCATGCCATGGGGATTCTCTAAACAACCAGGACTTGGGATCACAGTGCATCCCAAGTCTTTCTGGCCTGCTATAACAGGTTCTCCTCCTACTGTTCTCTTGTTCCCAGATCCTCTCTGTCCCGGGACAGCACACTATGGTTGATGGAGCATTGAACTTGGAATCAGGAAGAACAGAGTTCAGATTAGACGCCTGCCAGCTGGGGAAGCCAGGTCCCCAACTTGAGTTTACTTCATCATCAATAAAACAAGAGGATCAAACTCTGTGGCCCCTCTGGTCCCTTCTCTAAGTCTGGGGTTCTATCACATCTCTTAGCTCCTTAATTCAATTCCACATGTATTGGTGTTGGATTAACTAATTAACCAACCAACCAGTTTGAGCTGGTCTTCACAGAAGAGAGAGGATGTGCATTGTAGAGAAGAGCCTAACATCCTACCAATGTGGAACATACTGGACATAGAGATACAGGATCATAGCAATGAAGCACCCATTTTGTGAAAAGCATGACTGTGGGCTCCAGTCAAGGACCAAAGTAACACAGAGCCTGCCCTCAGGGGATTTACAATCTGGTGAGGGGTGGAGAGAGGGTAGTGAAGACATAAAGTTTTCACAGCCGCCCAAAATGATGAATTGCCCCCTCCCACTTAAAACCTCAAACATTCTCTTCCTTCTGATGTGGTTTGAGATCACTGTGATTGACTGTAGCAATGTTTATGTATCAGTGGGTCCACATAACCTGCTTTATCATCTCTATGTACTCATTAAGGTGGTGGAAATCAATGGTCTCATTGGATGGTAACCTTCTCAGGTCACCAAACAACCAATGAATAAAGACAAATGAGATATAATCTCTAGCCTCTGGGGAATTGTAATCCAACTGGGGAAAAGGGCACAGCTAGAAAGTCCAAGCTAGGGGTCAGTTGAAGAATACAGAATGTTCATGCTATAGACATTTTGAGAAGAGCAAATATACTATGGCCTGCGCTGCTCAGGAAAGGCATTGCACGAGAAGAGAGAAGGAGGAGGATATGAACCAGTGGAGGGAAACATAGAATCCTAACAATATGGAACATGTTGGTTATAGGAATATAGGATCATGGCAATTAAAAATGGAAGTGGTCTTAGAGATCATCTGAATTCAAACCCCCTAATAAATCAAGCAAGCAATTAACCAATGAGCAAGGACTCATGATGCCTTTGCTATTATGTACTGGGTGATGGGGACACAATGGCAAAGCTTAAACAGTCCCTGCCCTCGAGGAGCTTACATTCTCTAGAGGAAATGGAGATTAGAGCTCATCCAGGCTAACCTCTTCATTTTCACAAAACAGAAAATTGAGTCTTGAGAGGGGAGGAGGCCCATCATAAGTTCATGGAGTAGAAGAACCAGATAGCTAGGAGCCAAGGCTACTTTCTAATGGCATCGTTTTCCTCTCTGAATCACAACTGTTGAGCAACCGATTTTCAGCATTTATAAACATCACTGGCTAACTACCTTTTCAAAAGAAGACTCTAGGTTATTACAGATCCTCCCTCTATACCACCACCATTGAGTCAGGGGACTTGACAAAGTATTTCTGGAGTGTCACTCAGCAGTCCCACAATGCCCAGGGTTTGCTAGAATTTTATGGGTAATAAATCACATCAAACATGAGGAGAATTAATAATATGGATATGAAGAAAAACAATTTATTAATGTTAATAACTCCTCCAATAAAACTTCCAGGAGGACCTATAGTGATAAATTGAATAATTATGAGCGTAATTATGACTAACTAGAACCATAATTTCATGCTAATGCAATCATAATGACATCAAGTGTAGATCATGAATTTTAACTGCTTGGTTATTTCACATTTCTACCAGTGTGGACCTAAAAAAAGCCCTTCTGAAATCTGATCAAATTATGGCTGACTGAAAAAGAGAAAGTATTCTTGCATCAAACAGACATAATTTTGATTATCTTTACTGAACTGCGAAAAAAGCTTTTGTTAATTAGGAGCTTGGAGATATTGAATTCAGAAAATAGACTCTCAGATGAGTGGCATTTTTCTGAAACATAAATGTGTTGAAACAAGAGTTACACTGAAGAAGAATGGAATTCTCAGGAAAAGAATGGCATAGAGACGAGGCTTTGTCCCGTACATGTTCAGTTACTTGAAATGTCACTATTTTTCTAGGATTGTAGATGTCTCCGAAGCACTTGTTAGTGATTGGGTATTCTAGTTATCTGTTAATGTCTTATCCTCTTCTAGATTGCCCTATGGCAGAGGAAAGGGTGGAGAGGAAGCACAGATAGGCACTTGGTTTTTGTTGTTGTTGAACAAATGTGGGCATACATGCGTTAACAAATGCATGTATGAACAAATGAATGAATGAATGAATGAATGAATGAATGAATGAATTGCTTTAGGAGGGCAAAAATACATTTTAAGAAAAAATAGATTGGATCATCAAGGGTCAATCCACAAACATGCCAGGCATTGGGCATGGACACAAAAGCAAAGCAGTCCTTGCCCTCAGGGAGCTTACATTCTATCAGGCAACAAGACAGCAAGATCATATCTAGATATGAACAAAGCACACATAAGACAGATAGAAGATAACCCTGCAGGTAAAGGTGCTGGGAGCTCAGGAGAGCTGAAAAGACTGCATGCAAAAGATGGCACTTAAGCTGGAAGTGGAAGGGAACCAGGACTTCTGTGCAGCACAAATGAAGATGGAAATGATCCCAGGCACAGGGGGCAACAACCTGCACATCCGAACAGGCTGCAGTATACCCGAGACCGAGATTGGTATGACTCAATACTCTGCCTCCCTTAATGCAGTCTAGGACAGCCCTAGCTTTGTTAGATTGCAGCACACACTAATCGGCGGCGGCAGCAGCAGCAGCAGCACCACCACCACGACCATCATCATCATCTATGCTAAGTGCTTTATAAATATGATCCAACAACCCCAAGATGTCAGTGATATTATTATCCCCATTTTATAGTGAGGAATCTGAGGCAAAGAGAGGTTAAGTGATTTGCCCAAGGTCCCTCAGCCAGTATGTATTTGAGGGCGTATTTGAATTCATGTCTCCCTAATTCTGGGACCAGCCCTTTCTTCACTGTACCACCTAGTTGCCTATTAATTTGACAACCTTAATTCAATTATTCTATTGCACTAACAATTAATTCATAATGAACATGCAATCCATTAAAAACCTTATATTTAAAAAAAAGTGACGTACATTTTTTGTTTCTAATGCTGGCTGCAGTAACTTCCTGGTATCTCCATCATCATCCCATCTCTCCCACCTCTTAGAACTCTCTCTTATAACCCAGAAAAACTGTCAAAGCAAACCAAGCTGATAGAAAACACATTTGACAGTATAAGAAGCATTCTGCTTCCAAAGAGCCCCTTCTCATGGCTGACATGAGCAAAGAAGGTTTTTTCATCATCTGCCCTCCTGAACCAAGAAAGAATAAGCATTGCGTTTAATTAGAACACAGGTGTCATAGGGGGTTGTTTTCATTTATATTATTATAGTCATTTTGTGTATTGTGTTCCTGGTTCTCTTCTCTTCACTCTGCATCAATTCAAATATTTTTTTTCATGCTATCTGTTAACTACATAATGAAATCAAATTAGGTGTTTATTTCAAAGTTACAAAATTTGGAAAGCAATTCAAATTCTATTTCTCACGTTATCTGAGGAATTCCATATAAATTCTATTTTCTCTGAGTTTCTCATATTAATCATTTTTATAATAAAATGACATTCCATCCCATCAATGTACCTAGCACAATTTGTTCATTCATTTCTCCCTTGATGGGCACCCGTTGTTTCTACTTTTCTTTCTGAGAGAATCATTGGCATCATTGGTGTACGGGCCATCGAAATAAGCAACTCTCCTGACCAATGGGATCTTCCCCTGCTCAGCCATCGGTAGTCTTTGAGAGTTGCCATGATAAGGAGAAGTTAAGTGTTGTGCCCAGGATTAGGCCAGCACTGTGGGTGAAAGCTGGAGCTAGAGATCGGTTCTTTCTGAGTCTAAGGTCACCTCTGTTTTCACTACATAATGATGGACTTTATTTCATTTTCTAGCACAAATAATTATGCTCCTAATATTTCAATATCTATGAAATCAGATTCTCTTTGTTATTGACCTCTTCCTATCTGTTCCGTCTCAGACAAACTTGTTTAAGCATCTTGTAAAATTGATTTGTTTAAACCTAAGTGTGAGATTTTAAATTGATCTCCATTAAGTGTCATCTTATTCTAATCAGCCCAATGTTTTAGCCTGGCAGACCTTTTCAATCATGACTGTCATGCCATGTATTAGCAACTCTCCACAGCTTTGTGTCATCCGCCATTTTGACAGAGATGTCATTTATACCTTTATCCAAGCACTGATACACATGCTAACTTGTACAGGACCAAGCACAGACCCCCAGGGACACTATGTGGGGCACATCCTTCCATCTAACCAATAATGAAGGCTCTTTGGATCCAGATCTTCAAACAGTGCCAAGGCCATCTAACTATATTAGCATCTAGCCCATATCTCTCCACCTTTTTACAGGAAGAGCATGAGAGCCATTACCAAATATTTTGCTGAAATGTAGCTAAACTGTATCCTTATCATGTCCATGGTCTGCCAGCAAGCATGCCAGGTTTTCCATTGAAGAGAAATGAGTGAATGCAAGAAATGGTATGGCAATGGTAATCTATTGTCTATGTGAGCAGTGAAAGAGAAGAAGGAGTCCAGCATGACTGAACGTTTCAACCCCTAGAGTGATGCTGCCACCATACACTTGGAGAAGGAAGGATTTGAGAGAGAAATGAATTCTCTTTGGGGCATGATGAGTTTCTGCCCTACAAATCTTGTCTGGATGGCACGAGTTTAACATTCGTACCCCTCTATGATGGGTGGGCTCCTTAAAGAAAGAGGCTCTGTTTTGCTTCTTTGGATTCTCAGAGCTTGGGGCAGTGCCTGACCAATAGTGCTGACCACATGCTTGTTCACTGGTTCACCCATAGAGGACATCTGGGTGGAGATTCTGGGTAACGTGACATGGGGCTGCAGAGGGAAAATTCAACCAGGCTACATACTTCGGAGACATCCTCAAAAAGCTGATAATTGAATTCCTGGCAGCTGACAGTCTTCCTGAGTTACTAAAATCATCATGTCATGGGAATTTGACTTGGAAGGAGCCTTAGAATGAATTTAGTTCAAACTCTTCATTTTATAAAAGAT